TCTCACTTGTACATGAAAAACGCCATTTAGGGTTCCGCATATATCCCTCAAATACATGTGTGGCGACTAGCCATCCTGACTGGTCTGGCGTCATTGTTCAAGACCTCGCTGTCTCAAGGTCATTCACCCCTTGCAGCGAGCCGTCCCAGACGAGCTGACCTGAAGTCACACGACCAACAGCTCGGGCATACCTGCGTTCGCGCAGTCGCAGCTGCCCATGCGGCCACTTGAACGCGCCACCCCCTGCAACCAGCAAAACAAGCCACTGGGACACCACCCCTCGGCAAATGCAATACACGCTGACCGGACACCACTTGAGCTTGGCCCACGAGCCTACAAAAGCGGCTGCCACCACTATCTCAAGGACTCTCAGGCATGACTGGACGCAGTCAACACCAGCCCTGGCTTCGCCAGTGGCCACTGTCGCCTGAGAGGACAACTCGGGGTTCTGTGCACAATAAAGCCCTCATTCTGGTGCTTTCCGCCTCTCTCCCTTGCAATAGTGGGGTTCGACCAGGTGGTTGTAGCTCACAGACTGCACGCACACACACCGTCTGGCAGCAACGCATGTATGCGTATTCTGGGTAGTGAAGAACGAAGGCGCCACAAACTTTACCAAAAAGGCTTTCATTGGGAACCACAGACGACCCTATGGAGCTTTTCCAGTCTTTAGACATTGATATGGTTACAGACTACTATTTATCCACATACAATGACCCCTTTTGAAGATTTTGCGGAAAATTAAAAGGCTTTCAGGTAATAAACCCCCATGCTGGCGTCCGTATTGTAGTTGGTTGGACCAGATAGAGGACGGCACATGGTTACACTAAGAAATGGGACTGCCATGGCTCTGCTAGGGTCTGCAGGTCCCGTATGTTATTTTGAAGATATTTTGACAACATGGGTCCTTGATGAGTCCTCAGACCCTAACTTAATCGTTAAACATTAGCTTATAGATAGATAGATAATTTTTATTAAAGACCCGTCGGGGTCCCATCAAAGCAAGTTAAAATAAATTTACATGCGGGTTTTAGACGAGGTAGGCGGAATCTTCACAAAATGCAATTCATAGTTTCTGAATTAGAAGTCCATTGAGAAACATGATGATTGAGGGATGAAAAAAAACTCCTTACAAAAAGTTAAAAACCCCTCAATAAAAATAATGACAGAAAAAAGCGGGCAGGACTGGCCTGTAGGTGGCGGTATATAACGTAATGTTGCCGGTCATCGTCAGGGTAGCAATAAATCTCAGCCTTGAGGGGTACGAATGTGGGTCAGACAGGACTGGCTTGCATATGGCATTGTATACGGGATTCACAATTGAGATCGTCTGGGCCGGATTGATACGCCGCGTCCAAGAGGCCAGACGAGAGGAACCCAGATGCGATCGGCCACAGCACGCTTCGAGCTCAGCCGAGCAGTGGGGAAGGGAGGTACGACCGAACTACTAGTAGACTAGTACAAGTTTATGAATATCCACATAGAAGTATAATAACCCATCTACAGAACCCTCAGGGAAAACACTAGCAACGTTAACCCAGTCCCATTGAACTGCTGACATGCATATGACCTGTTTTTGAACCAATTAGGAATGCCCTTATCTATTTCAGAGACTTCTCATTAGTGCCAAGGAAGTTTAGTGTACGCAGAGGGCGTTCGTATGGATCACTGTCTACAGGTTTGCGGAGATATATCTGCGCTATATTTGCTTCTAAACCTCGTCCCAAAGCTTCAGTTCGGACCTCCAAAGAGATCAAAAGATGTGAGGGAAAGGTTGACCTTCACCCAAGACGACGCTAAGAACGTAGTAATATGTTGTTTGTATCACATAACTGTACCACAGTGTGCAAAGAAGTACTTCCATTGTCTTGCAATAGAGCTATTTGTAACTATTCATTTGCATTTTTATATAAGGAAACGACACGGGTCATCTTCCACTCGGATGGCAAGCGCTCTGTCCGTATTGACAACCTGAGGAGAGATTGAAGGGACACTGTCGACTCCATAGAAAATTCCTTAAATATCAGCCCAGGAATCCTATCCGATTTTCATGAAGACCCATCTTATTTCTTCGACAGAAAAGGCGACCATTCCAATGACGGGAGTTTTTCGGCCATTTCAGACTCTGGATCGTCTTCAGGACTCCACCGTTATCACTGGGCCAGAAGTTTTATTTTCAGTGGAAAATAAGAAAAAAACGTTTGCTATGCTATCTCTAGGCTTCACTGGAGGGAACGAAGCAAATAAAGCTTAACTTCTGGCAAGCGAAAATTTGCCCAATGCCAAAGGTGGCATCCTCTAAGTACCGAAATATTTCCATGTCTTTTGCAATGTCATCGAACATTAGGCGCCGCTCAAAGTACTCTCGTTAAATCTCATGAGAAAGTGTCGCCCATATCTGCGTCACAGAGGACCAGTCGATCACAGTATAGTATAAAAACCACTAGTAGCAGTTGGTGGTAGGGGGCGACACTGGTACAGTACAAAATAAACTGGGCAGTGGTTAGTTCTAGGTTTCATTTTTGACACTCAATTACGACAGCTGCCATCAACGTTTGAGTGGCCCCCAATAATAGACACGTCAATTACCTTAGTGTCACTGTAGCGGCCGAGGACGTCAAGGGTACCACACAACCACGTAACTGAATACCGAGGAAGAGATCCTGGCTTGCGTTGATCTGAATACGATTGTTAGCAGTTCACGATACTCATCCATACATAAAGGAAGAAGAAATGATCGGCGGACAAGAGATATAATGAACAGAAAAGGGAATCGCAAAGGAGTATAATGAGAGTTAAAGTACAAACGGGATGAGTTACAACAGTTGAGTGACCTGTCTGGGTGGAGAGGCGAGGCCAACATGCCAGCTGGAAAACCGGTGGGGAGCGCAGCGTTGGGGGCAACTGCAGGGAAGGGCCAAGGGGGTTGCCTATTTAGTGAGGGAAGCGGTACGAACGTTATGTCACGATACGGAGCGGGAGAAGGGATCGGCGGAAGAGAGTGGAAGGGACACCGGCCATCTTCACCAACATGCGGCTACGCCATCTCCATCCTAGGTCCGCTCGCCAAAAGTGTCACGGCATTCAAACAACCCTGCACAGATCAGGGGACGTTACATAGCCTCCTCCTGAGATGCGGCACTGTCCTCAGTGCTGCTGGAGTTGGAGCTCGGGAGGGCGGGGGAGGTGTGCGCTCCTCTCCATCCCACCGCTGCCACCAATGTCGCGGCCGAGTAAGGAGGGGCTCTGGGAAACTCGGGGAGGCCTGAGGTTGAATGTGATGGCTTGTGGTCTTTCGTATGGGTAGCCAAGGCAAACTCCTCTAAAAGTTCAGTTACTCCATCATACACACTAGCAAATGAAAGGGGTGGAGTGGACAAAATAGCGACAGATGAACTGGATATAAAAGTTTATTGGCTAAAGGTTGGCGGCACGATAGAAAAACAAGTTTAGCGCGATCTGTAATAAAGGTAAAAATAGTGGGTACAGACTACTAAACAACTATGAGAATACAACTTAATCCTATGAATCGACAAAACGCGAAATACGGAAAAAGATTGGTTAGTTGTGAAATAAACGAGACGGAAAACGAATCGGTAGGCCAGGGATACGGAAACGATAAGGAGAAGGGGACTTAGCGGAGGGCGCGTCGACAGGCGTCGACTCCAATCCACGTGACCCAAACTCTGAAAATGGAGGGCGGGAAGTAAAAAGGTCCGTTTAAAACAATCTGTCGTTACATCACTTCTCCTAACCATCCGACTGATCAATGCGATGGTTCGTCACCCTGACACCAACATCTCCAACGTTACTACTACCCAATAAACATTTCAAATAGTACAGATTCTACTGCTCTATTTAAACTTGTGTCCACGTCTTACTATATTGCGTTAATACTACTTTCGAACACAATGAACCTCCGGCATTGTCTGCCGAACGGAGCCCAAGCTCACATTTTCTAGAAGTCGGAGCTCCGGGGGAACCTTTATAGATATAGACAGAAAGCGCGATGACAATACCACAAATTCAATTCCACAGGTTAAGGAATCGACAGTCACTACAGGATAACATATGATCTCAGTGAGGGGGGGGGGATTACGCAAGAAGTTCGCGGAAAAACTTAAATGTGGCACTCATGGACTGCGGAGTGTAAAGAAACTGTGCTCACATAATTTCTAAAAAGAGGTGAGATTTTGTGTGTAGTTTAACAGCAATTGTTTAACGGTAAAAGCAGGAAGTCGCAGACTTGCGACCAAATATATATTCACGAGCCTAAGTGAAGACGTGGTGGAAGCCCTGATAGGATATTCGGTAACTCAGGACCTCCTGTCTAACGTTCAATACGGTCTTCGCGTTATCCGATTTAAATCTGGAAAGGCCTTTGATAGCATGCTGCACCAACGATTCCTCTGGAATTTATTACGATGCATGTCTTACGGAAGCTCCCTAGATGGAGCGAGAAGACCGTCGCCTGAAGTTCATATATAAATAACGGAGAACAAAAGCAGTCAAGGCGTACGACCATTAAAAATCAAAAGGAAGAAGAGAAAAGTTGTCCGTAAGCGGCTATTAGAGTGTCTCATGCCTTGAAAACCGACAAACATATGCTGTTTGGCGCATAAGCGTTTGTCTACTGAGGACGTTTTATGAAAGTAAACATGCACATACTTAATTGAGGGGATCCTAGTGTGCTCCTAGAAATAATTTTCTCAGCTTGTTGTCCGTTTTTCTATATTGCATGTTACAGATTGCAAGTTCCGAATTGAGCGTCTCATTTACCTTAAAACCGTCGAAGTAAACCAGCAGGTACCCTCATATTCAATACTAAGTATTCCATATTCTATACACTGAGAAGATTTAAATGCCAAATATGGATTTAATAAAGCCGCAGACGCGAGCCAAAAAGGTCAGAATGAATAAAGCACGAGAAAAACCCGGGCTGAAACGCCCCGAAACTGGAACCTTGAAGTTTTCGTTTTACTGCGTGGAGCGGACAAGTCATGAGGCGCGTGGACCCCGACGCTTCCACATCTAATGGCAGGAAAGTTGTTGTACTACTCGATCAAGCCTCTATCGAGACCGTCAAAGCAGCAGGTGGCAAGGAATACCAGCTTCTTAATCCGGACAAACACAAAGACAGAATATTGAAGTTTGGGCGCGATGTTTCATCAATTCGGCCGGACATAACACACCAATGCCTTTTAATGCTTCTTGATAGTCCACTGAACAGGATGGGTATGCTAAAGGTGAGACACTTTATATATATACAACCAACGCCTTTTTCGTTTGCCTAAGAGCCATTACACAGATTCGTGACAATGCCTAGGACCTGGTTTATCCTCATACTGTGGTGTACTGTTGTGGGGGAAACGCCAGGGAAATGAAGCCTGTCACATGAAACATGTGGCTGGAACACTGCCAACTGTGTGTTTAGGTGTGCCTAGCTGATATTTACTTGGCATTTACGTTGACCAGGCGATAGAATGACCTCCATGAACATCTTGGTCTAACTCCGTGCCATGGTACGGTCCACAAGTGTGGTCATGCGAGAAGAAGGAAAGTCATTTTGAGCTTGAGTGTACAATGTACAACTGGTGAGGAGTGGTTTGTCTCTTCTGTTTTCATTCATCTCGATCAGATCCCAGCGCAATGAGGGAAGAGCAGTATGCCTTTTAACTGGACTAGTTTTCTGGGATGTAGATGCATCACCAGATGTTTTTCAATTGCATTGGTTAACCGGTGTCCCTCTACCGTTTTTGTTCAATGCAGTGAACGACGTCTGTATGAGTTGCGTCCTTGACTTCTGATGTAGTGCAGAACTGAGGCCAGGTTCGCCAACCTGGTCAGATGTTTCGGAGTACTTAATCGGCAGACCATGTCACGTTAAAGCCGTCGTTTTCCCATTTAGCAAACTGGACGGTGTTGTTACCGTAGCCCAGTGGGATGCTCACATCAGGCAGGCAGGTGTGAAGAGGAAGGAAGTGACTTTATGTGGTCTTCGTAGGTGCGAGCTGGCTGACTTGAAGGGGGCGCAGGCCGTGTCTGCGTTTTCGTACTTCAGCCATCCGATTGACCAGCTGAAGTGTTTGTAGCGTAAACTTCCGCGGCATTATATGAGGTCGTTGGTCGTTGAATTGGCAGTCTTTCCAAGCCTGGAAGTGGTGTTTGACCATGGTCAGCAGAATCTGCGGGTAGGCAAGCAGGCCAATGGGGGAATCACTTCTTCCTTTGTAGGGTAGCGATCGCGTTCGGATCACCCTACCGACTGCTGTTTTTAGGTGGAGCTTGCACTTGGGTTGGATGTAGGATGCGAGAGTTAGAGCAACGGTGCGTGCGTGTTCTCTGTGTCCGCTGTTGATGACTCTCCTGGACTGTTCTCATGCTGCGTTTTAGCTGTCATGCTGTAAAGTCCAGGGAAATGAATGAATGCCCTTTAGGAGGAAGAAGTTTGGGCAACACCGTGACCCAGTAAAGGGGGAAGCTGGACGTACTTAGTCTTTGAAGGTTGCTTGATGTCGGGCATGTGAATTGTTGACTTCCTTCATTCAGGTCTTCATAAGGACGCAGAAGAACATCCTCATTGAGGTCAATCCGAAGACTCGGATTCCACGGACATTCGACCGGTTTAGTGGACTGATGGTGCAGTTATTACACAAGCTCTCCGTTCATGCCGCAGAGGGCAATCACGAGAAGTTGCTGAAAGTAGTGAAGAACCCCGTGACTCGTTATTTCCCCGCTGGCAGTCTGAAGATAGGGATGTCTTTCTCAGCCGATAGAATTGTCTCGCCCAGGGACATACCGCAGATGGCTGAAAAGAGTGCATCAGACGCCATAGTCATTGTTATCGGCGCAATGGCCCACGGTTCCATTGTGTCGACTGCTGGCGATTTCCTGGATGAAGTTGTCTCAATCAGTCGTTTTCCCTTGTCAGGTGCACAGACCTGCGCAAGAATTTGTACAGCATTTGAAGAGGCATGGGATGTAGAAAGTGCTAACCCCACTGCCTCTCAAAGGTGATCTCTTTTCGGACTTATGGCCCTGCTCCGACTGTATTTAACAGATTTTGTGTACATATCCATGTAATAATGTCAGACAAAACCTTTGCTCTTTCCAC